CTGTACAGTGTGAACTGTCTCTTCATAACTGCACTAATGTGTTAGGCTGCTAGGGATATATTGCAGTCGCAGACATGCGTTAAGAATCAATCTGAGCTAATTTTCAGCCAGTAGTTAAGGAAATGCTGTCATGGCTAAAAATAACGGAGCTCGTAAACACACTCAACTTGAAGGAGGAGAACAGGGGTCTATATATGAAACTTTGTCTGGCTAGTGGTTTCAAAGACAGAATTATCCAAGATAGCTGGTTTCTGAAGAAAAGCTTGGGATCCATTTCTCTTTCTTTCACTGGATTTGGTTGCAACAAACCTTTTTCTCTCCTTGCTAACACTCGTATCTCAATGCATCAGCCCTTGCTTATCAACGGAGACCGAGTGGAGCAAGTGGCCAGTTTTAAGTTTCTGGATGCTATCATAAAAGAGGACCTGACCTGGGGCATTTACATTGCACCACTGGTCAAAAGGGCCCAGCAGAGATTATACTACCTGAGACTTCTCAGGAAACAACAACTGAATGAAAAACTCTGGCGACCTTCTACCGCTGCACCATAGAGAGTATTTTAACTTACTGCATCTGTGTATGGTTTGGAAATTGCACAGTGGCAGATAGGACAGCGCTTCAGAGGCTTAACCTCATTGCCCAGAGGATCATTGGTTACCCTCTCCACCCTTTGGAAGAGCTTTATAGCTCAGGATAATAAAAACAAGGACAAACAGGCTGAAAAACAGCTTCTATCCCAGGGCAGTAACTATATTGAATTCTATGGTATGGTGCAATATTAATGCAATATTGGGTTTTCAATTTCAATTATATAGCATGTGAAGAATGGGTCTTTGTGTTTTTATTTTTATAGTTATAATGTACACTGAAGATGGCATTCAATTTCATTGTACGATGTGCAATGACAATAAAGTAAACTAAACTAAACTAAATCTACACTCAAAAGTTTGACGTTCTATTATTCTTCCAGAGGCAATTCAAACCCATTCTCTTTAATTACAGGTAGTCCTGACCTATGACCACAATTGAGCCATTTTTTTCCCATTGCTAAGCAAGACAGTTGGTAAGTGAGTTTTGCCCCATTTTGCAATCTTTCTTGCCCCCGTTGTGAATCACTGCAGCTGTTAAGTTGGTAACACAGTGGTTAAGTGAATCTGACTTCTCCATTGCGTTTGCTTGTCAGAAAGTCTCAAAACGTAATCAAATGGCCCAGGAACACTGCAACCATTATAAATACATGCCAAGTGTCCAAATTTTGATCACATGGCCATGGGGATTTTGCAGCGGTCGTTAAGTGTGGAAAATGATCACGTCACTTTTTTTTTCAGTGCCGCTGTTCGAATGGTATGGTTGTAAGTTGAGGACTACCTGTACTTCTGTCCATATTATAAGATCACAGAAAAAAATATTCCAGGTCCCATCAATAAAACAAGGACATCATTTAGGTTCCAAAAGAAGGCATGCTTTTTCTGTCACTGCCCTTGTCTTTTGAAGCAGAAGCTCCCACGCTCCAAGGTCCATGTGGCCCTGATGTGGCTTAAGACCTTAATAAGGTCTTAAAGAACTGACTCTTCTCATAATCATTGTGCCAAGTGGGATAATATAGGTACCCATTATAAAGTTATGTTCAGGGCAACTGTCTTCCCAAGTTATGGTTGTCTTATTATCCTGATTCTTTAATGGTAAAGGTTCCCCTTGCACATATGTGCTAGTCGTTTCCGACTCTAGGGGGTGGTGCTCATCTCCGTTTCTAAGCTGAAGAACCAGCACTGTCCAAAGTTGTTTCCGTGGTCATGTGGCCGGAATGATTCAACACTGAAGGCACATGGAGTACTGTTACCTTCCCACCAAAAGTGGTTCCTATGTTTCTACTTGCATTTTTACATGCTTTCGAACTGCTAGGTCGGCAGAAGCTGGGACAAGTAATGGGAGCTCCCCCCGTTACAGGGCGCTAGCGATTCGACCTGCCGAACTGCTGACCTTTCTGATTGACAAGCTCAGCATCTTAGCCACTAAGCCACTGCATCCTCCCTGATTCTTTAGTTTTTTTTATATATTGATGTTTTTAATTACTTTAGTTGGCCAGGGTGGCGTGGTGATTAGGTGGCCTTCAAAACGGAATGAATGTGAAATTGGTATAAACAAGAATCTCTTTGAAGACACACAACATCCATTGGCCACTTTCAATTTTCACTTTCTTTATAGGAATAGCCCTAGATGAGCTTTAACCTTGGTAGCTTTAAAATGTGTAGCTTTTAATTTGCATTCCCTGGTCAGCATGCTATAATAAACATTATAATAAACATTCCTACCTTCTGTTGGATGGAAGCACAAATGTGGACACAGAGAAGAAAAGAAACAAAGAGGGATTAGGTTTCTGTCCTTTAAATAGGAAACATAAATACAGGGTTTTGGGGGGAAAAAATTATGGGCCAGAGACATAGATTCAAAGAACAATGTAAAAAAATAATAAGTCTTTGTTGTTGCTTTATCAATCTTTCCTTAACCATCTACCATGTTTCCCTGAAAATAAGACAGGGCTTTATTTTCTTTTGACCCTTGAAATAAGCACTTGAGAGACCGCCTGCTGCCAATTACCTCCCACAGACCCATTAGATCTCACAGGGTTGGCCTCTTCCG